TAGCATGGCAGCTAGGCATCGAAAGGGTGAACGACAGGTGTAATGTTTCTCTTATTGGTGTTACTGCATAATTAGACTCTTGCGCTACTCTGTTACGTTCGTTTGTCCGGCGATAGGTCCCAACCCTTGGGTATGACTGTCATCGCAGGTTCAGTCTCACGTAATTTATCCCTATTCACTTTCGTATGTTTTGTTCGCCTCCACAGTTAGATCATCCAAGGTGGTGTCGTTTAGACTAATTTTTCTATCGCCTGTGTCGATATTTCTAAGCTGGAACTGTCTTGCTAACTGGAAGGCAGTAGCCTGAGTTGATCCTTCTTTGACATGACTTACGCCCTTACTTTCCCCACGCTTTTGTTTGATTCTTCACGCCCACATCCCCACGAGGTAACCCATTTTCACTGAAGAGTTCGTTCTGTAACTGGAGCCGATCTATGCTAGAAAACCGAGAAGCTCTGTACACCTGTTTCATCCTCACTGCCAGTGCATTACTCACGAGATTCCGGAGAGTCTCGAACCCGCGACCATCCTTCTAGTAGTTTGAACATTTGAACATTCGGCCACAAGTGATTACTCAACATTGTGGTCAACTTGCACTTAGACAGGACATATCGCCACTCGTCCTTCAATCACGGAATCCACATCAATTAGTCGCGTGTTGGCGACGATCGCTCAATTGGCCCATTAGACAATATACACCGCTATTGGAAATCCATATTCACCCACACTAGCATCCTGTTTGTTAGACTCTCACAGTCCCACTTTTTTATATGCTTGCTGTGGTACGTCTCGGTGAGGAACGAATTTTACGGGGTTGTCGGTTTCGCTCAGCATATCTGTTCGGGAGATATAGGATAGTTTTGCCGGCAGGCACTTTTAGGGCCCCCTGAGGAATGTGTCGCTCAGGTCCCGAGATATGGAACCGAACAGCAATAGGCGCTAGTCCTCACTTGGCGCAGTAGTACCAAATCTAATGGACCCTACTCTATAGTACCGTTGAGCAAAATCACACTACAATTATTTATTTTTGTGCTTTGTCCTCTCACTCAATCTCCAACCAGGCGCAGTGAGGATCACGCGGTCCCCATCCTGGAAGGCTACTAGGCTACAGAAAGATGAACTAGGATACCGTATAAAACTCTCCATGTTTGGTGTTGTAAAACTAATGCGACCGTTTCCATTTCCAGCGCTGTCGCTGTCACGCGAAAGGATTGGCCGATTTCTGTTTTGTCGGATCAAGTAGTCTCATTGCCACTGTGGGTGCGGGTACGGGACCTGCAGGGCCTTCACTTCCAGGTGGTCTCCATGTGACCGGACACGTCAGTTCCGGTGAGCAGCCAGGCCCCGGTGGACTTTCCCCGGTTTTCAGCGCAGATCAAGATGGAGCGAATCTCGCACTTTGGGATGCTTTGTTGCCTCCGCATCGAAGCTGCGTCATTCGTGAGTACTTCTCCCAGATCGGATTCAATTTTATCGTTTGGTTAAAACAAATGCTTCCATAGCGTATGGCGCTTGTTAAAATGTCTGGATCCGCTTGTTCAGCGGAAGGCGTATTTTTGAGAAATACACTCATTTGCAAATCAATTTGGTTTTCACGATAGACTCAACTGCATATCTCGTTCGTGATATTCTACAACCGAATGTGCTGCACACAGGCCGCCTCGTGATTCAGTGGGCACGATATTCGAGGTATCGCAGTATATTTTCATAATGGAAACTACTCACAAGATTGCTGAAAACTCTTCGACAGCCCCCGGTCTATGTGCAGCACATTCAGTCGTAGAATACCATAAATGAGAGATTCAGATGAGTCTCTTGTGAAAACCAAATTGATTTGCAAATGAGTGTATTTCTCGAAAGCAGTCCAATTTGGGTTGAAGTAGAAGATACGGTTGACGGAAACTCGGGGACTGCGCCTACCTGATGAGCTCGAAACAGAAGGACGAAACCGGTCGTGGGCTGTCGAAGCGTTTTCAGCAACCCTGTGAGTTATCATTCAGCTAAATTTGTACTTGTTAGGGCACATTCAGGCGACTTTCAGTATACATTAATTGCCAGGAAGCAGATGGTTTGGTGGTTACTGAAATATCAAGTCCAGGTGCATAGGACAAACGAAAAGCTACATCTGGAATCGTGCCACCGACTTCAAGCTTCGTTGGATTGATGTTCCAACGGACCGACTACCGAAAACGCTTGTGCACTCGAACCTCCGCTTAGTGGATTACCACCTGATATCCATCAGCGCCGTTGACGTGGGTTTTCAAAGTGGATTAGGCGTTGGTACCATTCAGATATGCAAAAGGGCTTTGCTATGAACCACCCGAAACCAGAAGACCTGGTAGATCCCGAAACGAGAAGTCCAACTGAAATTCGGATGAGAGGAAAGACGATTCAGTTCAACTTGTCACTTACAAGCTATGTACCAAGCATACGTCGGTTCTAGCTGCTTAGGCTTTGTTCACCGAAACAAAGATATAACCAGGCTTTGAAGACGGCAGCTCAAGTAATTTAGTTGTCTGATGAAGCGAAAAATTAGGCAGCCACATATACACGGTTGTTTTGTTTCAGGAGCACCGTTGAGCCATGTCTGTCGGCCGGGCTCTCCATCCATAGGGATAGCAATTTTCGACTCGACTGAGTCTAGCGACCTAAAAAAGCTCTCAAATCAGAATGTCCGCCTCTCCGATTTTCCAGTCAGCTGAGTAAAAAAAGAGCTGTGTAAGGTGAACATTGACGATGAATCGTACTATTTGTAGCTTTGAGGCGCTTAGCGATGGTTGATCAGGTGCCTGTTGATCTGCTCACCTTCCCTAACATTTGACTTGCAAACGTTTCGTCATCATTCACTCAACTACACATTTGCAAACCGATAGCCAACCTCAGCGATTGGACCAGCGCCCACCTAAACCATCGACCAATACACTCGTCTGCATAGCAATTCGGTTTCGACTCACCTGGAACCTGACCGAATGTTTTGCTCTTATTCGAAACCAAATTGGGATGCAGATGAGTGTATTCATCGAATTTCGTACAATTTGGGTTCAAGTAGACCAAGGGGACTGTGTCCAAGCGACGAGCCCCATAAAAAGGCGAAACCGCTCCTGGGTTGTTACGCCTGAACAACCGGACATGTGTTAAGCACATGCCCTAACCAGCGCGAGTCGCTTGTTCAACGCGGGCGACTCCTTTCCTTCTGAAGCCACCTCCTGACCCATTTCAGCATTAGTGATCCGCTGTTCTCGCCACATCCGGTTGATGCTTCGAAGACACGATGGTCAAACATCAAGTTTTTTGCGTAGCCCTCTGTGCGTAGACACTACGCTTCTCATTCATAAACCAACATGGATCGCACTCTCGTGGTATACACTCTACTCTAGACTGACGTTACGCCGGTACCATAGCTGGCCACAGGTCCCCTGGTCTTCCCGATTGATGTCATTTCCAACCATTCTATCCAGGTCATGTTGATGGGCTGTACTGTAAACATGAGATTTAGTTTTAATCCGACCTGGTCACGTG